GTTCGCATGTTTGCGTTGTTTACCATGCAGTAGACACCGCGCGGCGTCCGCGCCCAGACGCGCCCGCGCGCCCACGCGCTCGCTGCGACCACCTGCCGCGCGCGAGCCCCGCAGGCGAATGCCACCCACCCCCTCCCTCACCCCTTTTCCCCAGCACCGCCGCACGCGCGCCGCCCCGCGCCGCCTCAGCCGTTGCGCATGCGCACGCGACGGCCACCGCGGACATCGGCTCGTAGCCCATGGCGGTCCGCGCGAACTTGCGCCCCCCGAAACCCATGACCCCGCAGGGGCGCCACGGGTACACCCCGACTCTCTCCTTGAACTCCTCCAGCAGGAGAGCGACCGAGGCATCGTGATGGACCTCGCGTGCGTCGCACGCGCGCATGTCACTGCGGCGCGCACGGCACGCCAACCACGCGCGCATGCATACATGCATACATACCTACACACAGATATACAAACATACATGACACATACATACACAAACACATACACACCTACACGCATACATATATTCATGCATGCATGCATGCATGCACACATACATAAATACGTACATACATACATACATACGTACGTACGTACATACATACACACACATACGGCCCCGCACCTTCACGTCGCCAAGAAGATCGCCAGTGGTGGCGTCGATCGCTTCCACCCACATCTCGCGCCGCGGGCGCAGGCGGAGGTCCTCGCGCAACTTCGCCGTGGCCCATCTTCGCGGTGAAGTGCCGCGCGATCACCCAGAAGCACTCCGGACTCACCGCGCGCTTGTTCCACATAACGAGCGCCGCGCGCATTCGTTTTAGCCAGCATGGCTTGGGGCGGCGGCGCGCGAAACAAAATCGGAAACGCGGCCAGGTACGTCGCGCCGCGGTTACGGGGGCTCTCGACGAGCGGCGCCATCGGGCGCGCGGGCGCCCGCTCGAACATCCACTTGCCGATGATGAAGTTCAGCGACTGCACCGCGACCTTCCTACCTGAGCCCACTATCCATCTGGGATCGGTCATCATCCTGATGGCCAGCAACGCTCGCGCGCAACAGTGCGAGCGCAGCTCGCACGGTGACCGTCGCCCATGTCCGCGCGCCAATCTGGTGCACATGGCGAGCATTGCTCGCGTGCAACAGTGCAGTCACAGCTCAGGCGGTGACAATCGTCCTTCAGCACGGCGGCGGTGAACAGCGGGCCGCCCTTGAATCACTGCAGGCCCAGCCCAAACGGGGTGACCGATGGGTCCGCATCCCTCGGGGGAAAAGGCGAATTCCGCGCACAAGTGCCGCGCCATCGCTGGCGCGCGGAGCGCGCAGCGACCGATGGCGCGGAGCGTGCAGCTGTCGTTATGAAATCGCTGCGGTCGGGGCCAGCGGGGCGCGAAGGCTCGCAGGTGGGGGGGCGATGAGGACGACGGGGGCGACGAGGGCGATGGGGATGGCGACTGCGCGAAATGTCGACGGCGATGGGAAGGATTACAATTCGCGCGAGCACGTCGCGCGGGCCGCCCAAACGCCACAAACGAGTTGGCCTGGCGCTTCGGTGGAAGCGGCTGCCCGCTCGATGCGCCGCGCGCGGGCGGCGCCGCACTCGTGGGCTTGGCCGCGGGCGCGAGCGCGGGCGCGGAGTTCGCGTCAGCTCGCTCGCTCGCTGGCTCGCGAGCGAGCGCGCTCGCCGGTTCCTCCGCGCCCCCCCCCCCCCCCGAGGCGGCTCACTGGTGCCGATGTCGTCGCCGCCGTCGCGCTTCGGGTCGCGAGCCCCCTGCAGCTGCGCTTCCGTCAGGCGCGCTGCCTCGATGCACATGTCCCAGTCCTGTGAGCCTGCCCAGTGGAACAACAACGATGGAAATTGCGCGACGGGGCATGCGCGAGCCCTGCCCGCGCGCACATGCGCATTTGAACGGCGTGCGATCTTCGAGCTGCGCTGGCGTCGCGCGGTTGCGCCCCCACCCGCCTTTGGTGTGGCACCTCGCGTGCGTGGACCATGCGAGCCCTGATTTCTGTGGGCGCTTGATCCACTTGGCGTTGGGCTCGCGCCGCGCCCCCTTGGCTTGTCGCCGTCGCGCTCGCGCTCGGCGCTCGCGCGCGTATCCCCGCGAGCGGATCGCCGTCGCGCTCGCGCGGGCATCTGCGATATCAGTGCAGCCCCCCCTGTGCGCGCCAGCGCCCCCTTGGCTTGTCAGAGCCCTCGCGCGCGGGATCGAGAATCCCACGGACGCCACCTCGGAGGCGCTGACCTTCTGCATTGGCGACGGGGATTTTCGCGACGTTGGCGGCGAAGGCGTAGCCCCCGACATGTCAGCCCGTAGTGGCGGTGTCTCGCAGAAAGGATCTGGCATGTCAGCTGATAGTGGCGGTGCCCTGGAGTCGCATATCGGTGTTGAGGCCTGTGACATGCCAGCCCTTAGTGGCGATGTCTTTTCCTTTGGCCTTGGCACGTCAGCCCGCAGGGGCGGTGTCTCTGACACGTCGGCCCACAGCGGCGGTGTTCATATCGCGTGTGATGTGGGTTCCTCGTCTTCAGCTTCATCCTCGGCGGCAGCTGGCGCTACGGACGTTGCCCCGAAGTCAAAGAAGAAACATCGGCGCAATTAGAAACATAAGAAGGAGGCTTCGCATGTGAACGAGACCGTCTTTGAGGAGCAGATGCAGGCGCTCCTGTTTGCACGACTGCCTCTTCTCTGGGGCTGCTAATGAAGGCCGCGCCACGGGCGTGCATTCTGGTGCTTCACAAGATACGAAAGAGTTGGATGACATGGATGTTGAGTTGCTTTGTCGTTTCGCTGATGGCGATGCCGTGCTCTCGAAATTGCAAGAGCAGCCGTCGCTGAGGGCCCCAGTTTTGGAGCTGGCCTCTCGGCTGATGGCAGCTGGCGCGAATTCGAATGTGGTTTTCCTGCCTATCGTGTAGGGCCTGGCGGCTCAGCAGAAGCGTTGTCTACTCCAGGGTAATTATCAGAGTGATTGCTGGACGTTTATTTTTGTCAGTGGCTCCATACATGTTCACACGTGTTCGATGCCTGCCTGTCAATATCTGCGGAAGCTTGCTTGAGCAACCGCCGACAGGAAAAAAAACTCCTCCTCCTCCTCCTCCTCCTCCTCCTCCTCCTCCTCCTCCTCCTCCTCCTCCTCCTCCTCCCCTCCTCCTCCTCCCCCTCCTCCTCCTCCTCCCTCCTCCTCCTCCTCCTCCTCCTCCTCCTCCTCCTCCCCTCCTCCTCCTCCTCCTCCTCCCCCCCCCTACTCCTCCTCTACCTCCCCCCCCCTCCTCCTCCTCCTCCTCCTCCTCCTCCTCCTCCTCCTCCCCTCCTCCTCACCTCCTCCTCCTCCTCCTCCTCCTCCTCCTCCTCCTCCTCCTCCTTCCCCTCCTTCCCTCGTCCGTCCACACGCAGAGCCGCAGAAGCACCCCTGCCTCTCTCCGACTGCGCGGGCCCTACTTGCAGATGTATGACTGGCGCCTTCTCAGACGCATCAGGAAATGAAAACAACACACAGACACAATTAATCGGCGACCCCCAGGGAAATATTTGAAAATATGGGAAGTGGGGGGATACAAAAACCAAGAAAATATTTGGAAATATAGGGAATTCTGTTATTTGTGGCTATTGATTTGTGTGCCCCGGGGCCCTTTCAATGCAGCCTCCCTCCAAGAAGCCTTGCCCCCTGCCCCCATCCCCTCGTGCGCGCCGCCAACCCCCCGCCGTCGGGGGGTTGGCGGCGCGCACGAGGGCGTCCCCGGCCTCCCGCCGCGAAGCCCCCGGAGCCCCGCCCGCTTCGCCCCGCGTGCGGTCGATCAGTCCGCCCCCGCCGGAGCTTCGCGCCGCCCTTCGGCTGCCACGGGCTGTCCCCCTCCCGGGCCCCTGCTGCCACAGGCGCGCGCTGGCCTTGCCTCATCTCGGCCGCGGGAGGAGCCCTTTCTTGCTCAGCCAACGGTCGTCGACCAAAGAAGGAAGAAAGGAGGATGCGACGATCATCGACCAAAGAGGGGAGGAAGGAATATGTGGAGGAGGAGGAGGAGGAGGAGGAAAACGAATAATAATAATAATAAGAAGAAGAAGAATGAAGAAGAAAAAGAAGGAGAAGAAGAGGAAGTGCAAGTGAACGAGGAGGAATAATAATAATAATCATAATCATAATCATAATCATAACCATAACCATAATCATAAGAAGAAGAAGAAGAAGAGGACGGCTAGAAGGGCGAGGGCGAGGAGGAGGAGGAGGAGTGACAGATGAGGGGCACCCTGAGATCCGACGTTGCGAAAACAATACAAACCGCGAAAAGTCACGGCTGGAACCCTAGACCCTGTCTTTCTACCGCATTGTGTTGGCCGGATAAACCTGTGATGGTCCCGGGGGCCGAAACCGAGCGAAGACGCCGCCCGTCGGAACGCTTTGAAAAAGGGTGCAGCGCTGGCGCTTGGAACGAGCAACACGCGGGGCAACCCCTGTGCGTGTGATGACCCTGCCACACGCCACCCGCTGCCCCGAGCCCCGAGCGTCCACGCCCCGAGCCGTTCCCGACCTCCCGCCCCCTCGCAGAGGAACGGCACGCTGTCCGCTCGCGGGACACGGCGCGTCGCCAGGTCCGCCGCCGCACGTGAGGCAAAAGTCCCCGACCTTCGGAGGAGGCAGCGTTTCATCAGTCATCGGTGTGCCGATCGGCGCGGGCCCTCGCACTCTCCATCCTCCCCCCAAAAAAAAAATATTTAAAAAAAATCTCCATCATCCCCCCCATGGGGTAGATCTTGGCTGTTTGGGGCGGCTGTTTCGAGCATGTGGAGTCTCCCCCACGGGACGCAATGCTGCAAGCAGTCGCATGAAGCAGAGGTCCAGAGCCGGACCCCGGACCCCATCCCCCCAGCCCCTTTTCGCCCAATGTCAAAACGCCGACCAAGAAAACGCCCACGAGACCCTCGAGCGCATGCCCTGGGGACTTGTCCTGGTCCTCCTCGGCGGGCTGCCGCGGTGGGCCCCCCGGGCGGCGGCCTCGGGCGCCCCACCCCTAGAGGTGGCCGCACAACTTTACCGCGCTGCACCTCGCAGCGCAGCTGGGCTCCTCCGAGGCGGTGCCGCTCTTCCTCGGGGGCGACGGGGAGGGGGAGCGGGAGGAGGGCGCGCGCGCGCGCGGGCAACGATGGGTTGGGCAGGCGCCGCCCTCCAAGCAGAGCTCGCACTCCTGAACAGGCCGGCAGAGGAGAACAAGAGGGAGGGATCGGAGGGGTGGCGCCCAGTCGAGCAGGTTGGACCAGGCCTGCAGCTCCGCCCTCGAAGCCTCCCACTGAGCCGCTCGGAGCAGAGAGCGGCGGGCGAGGGGGCCCTCGCCCCACGGCGCCACACGCTGGCGGTGCCGCGCGGCGCGACGTCGCCGAGCAGCCTGACGGTTCGCCTCGGTCCTGGCCTCCGGTTCGCCTCAGTCCGGGCCTCTGGTGGGGGCGGGGCGGAGCGGAGCGGAGGGAGGGTCAGAGGGGGCCAAGGGCCAGGGCAGGGCTTGCTCCTTGGTGGCCCGAGCAAAAAATCTGCTGCCTGCGGCTCCCCAGGATCCTCCTCGAAGGGAACCTCGGGAGCGGGCGGGACTCACCGTGGTGCTCGATATCCTCACAATCCGATGGGTCGAAACGGAATTTCTCGGGATCGGTCTTCATCTTCTGGCGCCTGGAGCCTCGACCGCACCCCGCAAAGTCAGGCGCTGGGGCTGGGGGATCGGGGGCATCTCTCTCCAGGGCGGCGTGAAAATCCATCAGGCCAGCATGGATCACTTCATAATCCTGATAATACTTGAACAACCGCGCATCGGCAGAGTCCTGATCACCAGCATCTAAGTAAGAGCAGATACTGTCCACAATGCTGGAGGCCAAAGCCTTGCAAAGGTCTCTGGGGTAGCCTTCTTAGAGGGCGTACGGAAGACACCATCGGGGATCTCGAAAAAATCCCTAACTCGAGGGTGTTTCGGCGGTTCTCTGGCCAGCCCAGGCTCCAGACTTTACAGGTGGGGAACACCAGAACAAATCCCCCAACTCGAGTGTTTTTCCCCACATCCAAAGTGGGGTTCTTGTTTTCTCTGCACACGCCGCGCAGGATCTCACCCCCCCTTTCCTCTGTATCTCTCTCTCTCTCTCTTTCTCTCTCTCTCTCTCTCTCTCTCTCTCTCACTCACCATCATCACCATCATCATCACCACCAACCACCATCATCGTCATCACACGCACACACTCATCATCATTACCATCATCATCACCATCAACCACCATCACAGTCATCATTACTCATCATCCGAATCCTTCATCACTACTCATCATCATAATCCTCATCATCATCATCATCATCATCATCATCATCATCATCATCATCATCGTCGTCACCATCATCACCACTCGATCACCCACTCACTCACTCAATTACTCACTCATCCTCAGTAGGCTTCGGAGGCAGTGGTCCTCCGACGGTAGGACCGCCGCCACTCTGAACATCATCGTCACCATCTCCATCATAATCTCTCGACCACCCACTCAGTGGCCATCATGATCATCATCAGCATCATCATCACTCATTCATCACACACTCCTCATCATCATCATCATCATCATCATCATCATCATCAGCATCAGCATCAGCATCAGCATCAGCATCATCATCATCATCATCATCATCATCATCATCATCATCATCATCATCATCATCATCATCATCATCATCATCATCATCATTCACTCATCATTTCGTCATCACTCACTCCCTGGTTTGAATATGGAGGTAGTACCAGGCAGGAGCCTCGTCTGTGAGTGAATTGTGAGGAAGTCTCAGGCAGGAGCCCCTCCCTATGGGGCCCGCACGTCATGTTTTTAATCCGAGGCGGGTCATTCGAAATGTGTCCTGTCGTCATTTTTGGGCCCCTGTGGCGAGAATCTGGAGGAAGTATCAAGCGGGAGCCTCGTCTGTGAGTGAATTGCGACGAAGTCTCAGGCGGGAAGCCTCTCCCTATGGGGCCCACACCTCATGTTTTTAATCCGAGGCGGGTCATTCGAAACGTGTAACTGTCGTCACTGTTGGGCCCCTGCGGCGCGAATCTGGAGGAAATATCAAGCGGGAGCCTCGTCTGTGAGTGAATTGCGACGAAGTCTCAGGCGGGGAAGCCTTCCCCTATGGGGCCCGACCTCATGTTTTTAATCCGAGGCGGGTCATCCGAAACGTGTAACTGTCGTCATTTTTGGCCTCCGGAGGGCTTGAATAAGGAGGATGTATCAGGCGGGAGCCTCGTCTGTGAGTGACTCGCGAGGAAGTCAAAGGTGGGAGCCCGCCGGTCTGTCCCCGTGGGGGTCCCCGCGCTGAGCCAGCTCGAGGAATGCGAGCTGGAGCTGAGGCGCAGGAGGAAGAGGACGAGGACGAGGAACAGGAATTGAGACGGACGACGGCGGCAGGGCGCAGGGTGGAACCCTTGCGTCCGGGCCGGGGGTGGTAACCCATCCTCGGCCGAAGCGGCGGCCGGGCGCCCGCGCGAGAGTTCCTGGAGCGCGGGCCGCCGGCGTCACTGCGGAAGGCGCTCCAGGAGTTCGACAAGAGAGCGGTGGACTCCAGGGCTGAGGCGGAGCAGCTCGCGGCAGAGCTGGGTTTCGTGCTGCCACCCGCCTGAGCGCCGCGGCGCGCACCTGGAGGCCCGCGGGGTTGTCCCAACGGCTGGCTCCCGCGCCCCTGCGGCCTGCGAGGTTGTCCCAACGGCCTGGCCCGAAGGGTTGCCCCGACTGCTTCGCGATCTAGCCGTCGGCAAACGCGCGCGTGCTGGCCGACGCGGCGACGGCGCCGAGGAAAATCGAGTTGCTTGTCACGACCAGGGGGAACGGGAGGTGCACATGGAGAAGAGGCAGGAGGATGAGGAGGGAAGGGGCATGGGGGAGGGCGACGACGAGGAGGAGGTGGCGCGAGAGGAGGAGGAGGAGGAGGAGGAGGAGGAGGAGGAGGAGGAGGAGGAGGAGGAGGAGAAGGAGGAAGAGAAATAGAAGGAGGAAGAGAGGGCAGTGCAGAGGGCGAGAGGAGAGGATGCCCGCCAGGGGGAGGAGGAAAGGGCAAAGGGTAAGCTAAACAGGTTTTCGTGCGGGGTCCTACCGTCGGAGTAATTGTATTTTTCCGGGGTGCCAGCCCAGGCTCCCGGATTGTCCGAGGGAGCTCCAGCGGACTCAAGCGGACCCCAGCGGGCCTCAGCGAGCCCCAGCGGACCCCAGCTGACCCCAGCAGACCCTAGGAGCACCGACCTTGACCAGGCGTGTCACAGAATCTGGTACAAAGGCTGGGCATACGCACCGAAATGATACACGCGGGCGCACGTCCAACACTGGACGGGCAAACGGAGCTGCCTTGATGTTCACACTGGTCGAATCCCGCGAGACGGAAACAGGGGGCAGCAGCAAGGGCCTTCATGGGGCCCCGACGGAAGGAGGCGGGAGCCCCAGGGGCCCACAGAGCAGGGGTCGGGTGTGCAAGCCAACCCCTTGTGCCAGCCCTGAGGCGCCCTGCTAAAAGCCTAGCAAGAGCGAACATCAGCATCGAACCGAATTTCACTTGCTCAGACTTCCTCCGCGAGATCGACGGCATACCCCTAACATGTTTCATGGACCTGAGGGGGAGGGCCAACTTCGTGCCACCTGGCCGCAGACCAGGTTTCACAAGATGGCCCTCCCCCCGTGTTGATCACACGATGACGCCTCACGAAGCCCAGCTTGGAAAAAACATAAGAATCCCTCATATCTGTGTTTTTCAAGTTCGACCCTCCCCCTGCTTCCTCCTGTCCCAGGCTATGGCGTGTCCCAGAATGTGTTTCCGTCTCCCCCATCCCCCGCTGTCCGTTCGTCCTGAAATTGTTTTTGCTCCTGGTTCCTTTTCTGTGTCCCGTTGAACGTTTTTCTCTCTCTCTCTCTCTGGCCCCTCTTGAACATCTCTGGCCCCTTGTGGACCTCTCTGACACCATCTTTGGGGTATAGTAAGCTGTGTTGGAGGTCTCTTGGGCCGTCCTTGATGCCTCTTGGAGGTTCCCAGGAGGGACTATCAGCAAACGGGAACACCCGACAGTTTGCGAATCGAGCCTAGCTAGGAGTGCGCGTTAAGCGCGCGTGATGGTTCTAGTACATGCATAGATACACATACCTATACAACTCGATCGCAACAGCTGTGCGCGATGATGTTTTAAAACAGTCGACGCCTGCTCTTGTGACTTCTGGGGAAGTCCCAAAAGAAGTCCAGCATGTTCGTCACATGCGACTCAAGTGGCCTGTCGCGCGCTCATGCCAACACCATTCGAACGCTCTTGCGCGCGTGCTGGGACGGGCACGACCCGTGTCAAATAATTCCACGGGGGCCACTCGCGCGCGTCGGCCGCGCGCGCATGTCGAAATCCGTCAGCAAGTTTCATCACCGACGCTTGGACACCATCATTGTCATCGGCGTGATCAGCAACGGCGCAGTCATTGGCCTGGCCGTCATCGTCATCGCCATCGTCGTCACCAGCATCGCTACTATCATCATCGTGCCTGCCGTCGCTGACGTCGCCATGATACCGCGCCCGCCCGAATCATCGACCCGCACCGAGGTGCCCGTGTGTCAGCGCTGCTTGCGGGACGCTCTGGGAAGTCTCCAGTTGTCAGCGCCACCGCGGCCGCGGCGATCGCTCCAGACTAGATGGCAGCTGGCCGGTCTGCGCGCGATCCTGCACATTAGCGCGGCCGCAACGATGCGCCATCCAGCGCCATGCATCATCGCAATCGCCGCCACATCGTTTTTGCAAACCACGTTGCGGGTGGATGGGCGGGACACTTGCGCTAGCAGTGGAGTTGGCAGCGCCAACTTCGGCAGAGCGGCTTGCACCACATAGAATGCACCGCATATTCTGCACCACGTAAAATCATAATTTTCATGACATGCAACCAAAACGGTTTAGCACGCGCGTGTCGAAATCGTTCGAACGTTTTTGCGCGCGCTGGGGTGGCACGATCCGTGTCCAACCATACTATGCGGGCCACTCTCGCGCGTCTGTCGCGCGCGCATGCCGAACCCCTTCCAAAACCTTCCAAACCTTCAT